AGTAAGTTGCACTAGAGTAGATCCACTGAATCAGTGCAGATTTTAAGAGTCAACTCCTCTGTAAGTTCCATTGATTCAATGGGTGAACTCTAGTTGTGACTTACTGTGCTAAGCAACAGGATTTCAGCCAACATTATTAGCTATGATTTACTCCTTCTTTCTCCTCCTTCTCTTGCGTACTTTCTTCAGGGTAGAGAAACTGTTTTTATTTTAAATCAAGTATTTATTACCTGAAGTTCCCTGTTATATTCTCAGTAGCTTGAAAAATAAACTCTGGTTTCCTGTCAGGTAATTCATCAGGATATTTATCTAGGCAAGTCATGGTTTATGAAGATAGACTGTGAGCCACAGTCTCAAAGCTGTGAAAGAAACTCCAGAAAAGGTGATGAAACAGAGTGGGGAGTAGACCTTTCCCTTGGGAGAAGTTTTCCCTTGGGAGTAGCTTAGCTGAAATGTTTGTTCTTTCTAGGTACTTTATAGAGCATCCTTCTCCAGAGGTACTTACTGGACCTCAGCTCGCATCATAGCTATTGTCATTATTCTCTGGGGCTGATGGGAATTTTAACTCAAACATATCTGGAGTTCCCAGGTTGGATGAAAGTTGTTATGCTGGAATAGTAGGGTTTTTCCTTGTCTAAAGAAAACACCAACACCGCTACACTTATACATTGACTCCTATTTGCTTTCAGTCAGGGTCAAAATCCTATTGTAAAATACTGCAATGTAATTATGCAAGTGGTTTTCACACTTTTTTCAGCCGTCCATTGCACGCTTGGGCACACAACTCACTGTGCAGCATGTATGAGTGCACATTAAGATGGCCATCAAGATTGCCACACATTGCTTAAGCAATGACCAGATGACCCTGCATGATTGCTACAGGAATCACACTAAAGAAATCAGCAAACATCCCCATATTTAATAATAAGGGAAACAAATTATGAGGAATGAATCTAGCATACACTTCTGGAAACACAAATGAATGGCACTTCAGGACACAAGAAACTAGGAATACATGCACTAGGATCTGGGCAGGATTGACCCAAGATATTCTGCAAGTGCGCTGGATGATAACGATTACACCTTCTCGCATTCTGCATATGAAAACTGACAAAAACAATATTTAAATTGTACTCCAACATGCAACAGTGTCCTGTACTATACCTGAGAACAGCAAGCTAGCTTAGTGGGATCTGGGATACGTTACGCAGTACCTTATTGCTGTATTCTGCACAGCAAGCTAGCTTAGTGGGATCTGGGATACCTTATTGCTGTATTCTGCAACCCCCTGGTGTTTAGTGCTGCAATCCTGGTGCACAATTCCATGAGTTGTAAATGGCAATGCTAATCTTTATTTTACTTTATTTTGATTTCAAACTTCCTATCCCCTGCTTCGGGTTCTGAAGCTTCCTAGGGATTCATTTTGCCTTGGAGAAACCTTTGGATGCCTCTGGATTTGGGGTGGGTGAGTGTTAATACAGGAAAAGTGTCACTGAACCACCAGTGGCAATTCTTATTCAGCACTGGGGTACCAGTGATGATTTTCTGATATTAAAAACTCCTCCATCTTGAAGTTCCTAAAGGCTTTTCTGGGTCAAAAAGGATCCCTAAAGAGCCTCAGAACCTTAAGAGGCAGGATAAGGAGTTTTAAATTAAATTAAAAGAAATATTAGTATTGTTGGTTTATGTCATCACCACCATTTGGAAGGTGGAGTAGCACCTGTAGCGGGCCACTCTGAAGCCTCTGCTAACTCAGGCCTCCAGGAATGCTCACTATTTTTCCTCTTCAACTGCTGCCACCAATTATAATCAATATTTAAAAAGGACAAGTGTTTCTTCCAAAACAAAACTTGTTTATTGATATAATAAAACAAAATGAGTAAATCACAGATAGGTAATCAAGTTGTAAATCACTGTTTCTCATTCATTAAATCACACAGATTTTTCCTCACTGACTATTTTGGCTCACAGGCCTACTAACATGCTAATCACTAACTCTCAATCTCTCAATCTATCCATCTCTCCATCTCCTCTCCTCACACCTCACACACACCTTTTATATTTCAGCTCCTCCCCCTTCTGCACCACCCTCCGTCCCCTCATTGGCCAGCTGTGACGGACAGGTGAGAGCAGGGCCAACTGTTACAGCACCAATTGGATTTCAGCCATTGTCCCAGGCCCACCCTTGCATTTTGCCTAATGGTAGGACTAGGGAGAAATTAAATAAAAATCTGATAACTGTTCAGAGACTTGCTTCATTCCATTGTTCCTGTGATTCAGTGGCATGTTGCTAATTCAGCTATATGGTGTAATGCTGCTGAAGTTGAATAGGGAAGGGGAAAGTCAATAGAGACTTAGGCATCTCTATTGTATGTTGTGGCTACATATGAAAGCAATGTTCCCAGAAGACAGAGGGAAGAAATACTTTATCTGTACTGTTTTATTTCCCAAAAATATGTACTGCCATATCCTGCTCCAAAAAGGTCAAGGAACGAAGACACCTGTCACTGCATCTTCTTTTGAAGCTGCTTTCTTCTGCTTCACCATATGGAGAAACTGGCACACTGAGGTTCTATTCTGTTCACAGAGTTCACCATGAATGGCAAAAGTTCTTTCATATGTATGAAATGGAAAAAAAATATTTATAAAATCTGCTGGAAGGATGGCTCAACACACACAATTCCTTCTAACAAGCGCTGAACACCTATCTTCAGCAGGCAGTGTTTTGATACTGTGTTCATCCTGTCTCTCCTGATAGATGATGCACTGATCAAAGCCAAAACTAAGCTGGGATGTGAGAGCCTCATTATGAAATGGCATTGTTTTACTTTCACCTAGTTTGTGTTTCAATATAGCAAAGAAGGAAGCAGCTCATTCCAAAAACCCAGCAATCAGAATAGATGTTGAGAACCAAAAATGAAACATAGGCAAACTTTCCAAGCAGTGATAACTAAAGATGGGGGTATTTGTATATGAATATCCCCACACAGCTGGAGTTAATGAGGGTCTGGGCCCCTGGGGCCAGGCTATCCACTCATATGTCCACCACCACCGCTGACCCCGCTCATCCTTCCAATCACTCCCAAGCACGGTTCTCTTCCCAGTCGTCTAGCCACTCCCGGCAGAGGGAGGGAGGATGAGTCTCCCTGCAAAGCTGCCGAGTGGCTAGCTGAGTGGTGCTCCAGAATGATTGGAAGGAAGAGATGGGCTGCTACTGCCAGCGGATGTGTGAGTGTATGGTCAGGCCAGACCCTCGTTAACTCCAGCAGTGCTGGAATATCCCCATCTCTAGTGATGGCATATTATCCAAGCTATTGCTGACCTGGTTTAGATGCACAGTGTTGTATTAAATGGTGCTTCTTGGATTGGCCCCAAATCAGCCCCATCCCTGTAAAGAGACTCCGAAAATTAAGACAGCTGGACTGGACCATTAAAAACAAACAAAAGTGGATCATGTTCTTTGGAAAGTTTATGTCTCTTCATCACCCATTTAAGATGAACTACCCTTAAAAACATTATATGAGACCAGGACTGTAAGATAGAATTTCTTTCCAAGCTGCTGTGAGGACTGCAAGTTAAACTGAGAGATATCAGAGAAGCTCTGGGTGATGGTAGATAATTTCATATTCCTACTCAGAAAATCTTGTGACATTGACACTGTAAATTCTGGGGAAATTGCAGTTATTCTTATATAGTTAGCAGAGTATGAAGTAAAAAAAGGAAAAAACAGCAGCAGGAAATGGGAGTCAATAGCCCAAGTCCCAGCACTGCACTCCCTTTCACAGAGAGTAGCATTTTATGTAATAAAAAATCACTCTAGAAGCATTTTAGGTAAGGAAAAAAAACCACCTGTAGTTACAGTGAGAAAGAAAAAAGGAGGGGGGAATGGAGCCTCTTGTATGTGGGAGAGATGTCCTCCATGTCTGTTTCTTGGAGGAAGATCAGAGATGCAGGGGAAAACTGAACAATAAAACAATGGAAGCAAAGCAAAAAAAAAGAGATGTTATAGGAACATAATTAATTAAATATTGACAGAAGCTGCTACTTCTCTATGTTATTTTTTATTATCTATTGACGTAATTACCCATTTTTAAAATTTGCTATTGCTACTGTTTAATCTGCTGTGATAACCCACATGATTTTAATCATTAAAAGATATTGGCATCTGTTAATATCCTCCATGTTCCATCAGACATGGAGTATCAGCAAAATCATGTGGTGGTCTATTTTCAATTCGTAAAATAGCATATGGTGTCCTGGGTATATGTGGGTCTCTTCTTCAAAGAATTTTCATAAAAGAGCTCAGAATGCATTACTTAGAGTTGTTCTAGAATTATGAATGGCATGACTTATTGTTTTGATCTCTTTGTACCAAGAGCATATTGAGCAGTCATGTGATTAAACTGTTAAATGAAGGTGGGCTAGGCAATTCTGCTTGCAGAGTTGGAACATTCCACGCTTGGAGCATCTGACATTCCTAAGGATCAGCAGTGTGGAAGTGGGGAAGGAATTGCTTTTATAATCTTTCCATTAAATTTTTTTAAAAAAAAAGATTACCAATGATAGGAGGAAAATGCCTTATACCAGGTTCAGATTGTACCTGTCGGTATAATCAACCTGCTCAATATTCATTTTTCACTATTTACTACTTTGAGGTTTAGTTGGATTTTCAAATTCTTATTTGCTTCGGTAGGAGAGTGAAGGGGTCTTCTTAGTACTATTATCTGTTATCAGAACAAAAGTCTAACTTTTAAACCTGCAGGATCTGATTGATCATCCTATATATTGGACATCTGTTCACTTTAGACTAGACATTTTCATAGACATTTTAAATTAGTGTTAATTACACTTCTGCCAAGAGTTGTTCGTCTTGTATTTCTGATATGATAACATGATACAGTAAATTTTTGCAGTTGTGAAGGGGACCTTCAACTGTCCTTGAAGCCTGGAGAGGCCAAACATCTACTTAGCTATTTCTTTCTTTCCTCTTTTTAACATAGGAAAATTCCATGGATCAACATCTATGCTCAAGTCCAGCATGACAAGGAACAAGAAATGATTGGTTCTGTCAGCCAAAGTGAAAATGCCCCCAAAATTACACTTGGTGAATTCACAGACCCTGAAGAACTCATGGACAAAGAGTTGGATACACGGGTTCTAGGTAAATAGCATAGTTGCTTCTCATTCAAGGCATCTAACATCTCATGAACTCATGGAATATTCTCTTCTCTCTCTCCTTCCCCATCACTGAATGCAGATGCTGACTTTATGTAGATTTTACAGTTGTAGGAAGCTATGAGAGATACATTATCTTGTGGACAAACATTGGCTAAAATCCTGTTGTGTAAGTTACATCTGCAGAATGATGATGACTTCACCAGCCGATGGAAATTTTCAGCAATTAAAATTCCTACTTTTGTTTCACAGATTGCTTGAGTCACATGAAGTCAATCTCGTTGCATGAAAGGTATGAGACCCCTGAGATGTAAGACAGGACTTTTTAGTTACAAGAATCACCCCCTGCCAGTAACATCATCACCTTTTCTCTGGTGTAATTTAAACAACAGGATTTTTCCGTAAGAGTGTTATATTTCCTGGAGATTTCAGTGGTTCATCACTCCACTGATGGTCTAATTTTTCAACAAAGTAACAGAGAAAAGTGTAAAGGGATGGACAATATCAGCCGAAGTGAAAATGGGATGATGACCACTCAAAGGGCCACCATGAACATTTTGCGCAGCGCTCTGCAGACAAAGTCAATTGGATCCGCTCTGACTTAGATGCTGTAGACGATGCAGGTCGTGTTACAATGGATACATTTCACCTGGTGCAGTCTGGGGATGTGAACAGGACCTTTGGAGAGGTAAAAGTCACCACATGTGTGCCAGAACCCTTGCCTCTTATAGTTTATAAAAGAAGCCAGAGGAGGAATGGCTGGCTGAGTAGGCAAAAGGAGTGATAAATGCCTCTTTGCAGCAAAGCAGGGTACCAACATGCCGAAAGGAGATAAAATAAATGCCTCTTTGCAGCAAAGCAGGGTACCAACATGCTGAAAGGAGACAAAAATAGGAAGTTGATGAATTGTCTTGAATCACACTGTGTGTTATCCAATACAGTGCAATTCAAGACAATTTTAACAACTTCCTATTGTTCCTATTGATATCTCCAGTGTTCCATTTTTGGACAAGGTTTTGGAGTGTGTTCTGTTGTCCCAAGTCCAGCTTTGCAGCAAAGCAGGGTACCAACATGCTGAAAGGAGACAAAAATAGGAAGTTGATGAATTGTCTTGAATCACACTGTGTGTTATCCAATACAGTGCAATTCAAGACAATTTTAACAACTTCCTATTGTTCCTATTGATATCTCCAGTGTTCCATTTTTGGACAAGGTTTTGGAGTGTGTTCTGTTGTCCCAAGTCCAGAGGTTCTTGGATAAACCAGATTATCTAGATGCACCTGGCTTAAGGCCTGGTTATTGAACAAATATCTTTGGTCATCTTAGTGGATGACTTATGCTGGGAACAGGACAGGAGAAGTTTATCCCTGTTGGTTCTCGATGACTTATGCTGGGAACAGGACAGGAGACGTTTATCCCTGTTGGTTCTGCTGGACCTCTCGGTGGTTTTTGATATCATTGGCCAAGTTATTGTTGTAGGGTTACAAAAAATTGGCCAAGTTATTGTTGTAGGGTTACAATAGCTTCACTGGCTGCCGGTCTGTTTCTGGGCTCAATTCAAAGTATTGGTTATTACCTCTAAAGCCCTTTATGGCTTGGGTCCAGACAATATGAAGGACTGTATCACTCCGTATGAGCCTCCTTGGTTTTTAAGATCTTCTGGGGTGTCTCTTCTTTCAGTTCCACAACCTTCCCAATATCATTTCATGGAAACACAGGAGAGGGGCTTCTTAATGGCTGCTCTCCGGCTTTGGAATGCACCGCTGTGGGAAGCCAGGTTGGCCCCCTTTCTCTTGCTGTTCCATCATTAGACAAAGACCTTTCTTTTCAGGCAATTTTTTTAGCAATAAATGGAAGTCTAGGGAACACTTTATTTATGGAATTTAAATATTTTTATTTTTGAAATGATTTTAAAATTGATTTAATCTTGGTTTTAATCTGATAAATATTTATTTATGCTTTAATCTTGGTTTTAATCTGATAAATATTTAATTTTGTTTTAATATATGTATGTATTTATTTATTTTTAATTTACATTTCCATCTTGCCTCTGTGTATTACTATTACTTGGTCTGTTGTGCTGTATATTGTGCAGATACTATGAGCTTTAGGCAGGGTTCTGGGATTTAGGGATTGTTACGAGGATATGTGTGTGTTTTTGGTCTGGTCTCTGAGTGTTCTTTGTGAATTTCATTGTATGTGTATACGGTGTATATACGTTCAATGACAATAAATTGAATTGCCCAGCAAATAGCTGGGTTACTACCCTGGGCAGCTAACAGAAGGGCATACAGTCATAAACAATAATGATAAAAACAATAAAACAACAGTGAAGAGGGGGTTCCTGACCTAGCTACATGAACCACAAAAGAGAAGAGGATAATTAACGGCAGGCTGGTCATAGTTTTGTACAATTTTAATTTTTGTGAGCCACGTCCCCTTTGAACGGGGTTCCTGACCTAGCTACATGAACCACAAAAGAGAAGAGGATAATTAATGGCAGGCTGGTCATAGTTTTGTACAGTTTTAATTTTTGTGAGCCACTTTGAGTCCCCTATGGGGAGAATGGTGGCATGTAAATAAAATTAATAAATTAATTAATTAATTGTCACTTCCCAAAGAATCAAGGTAAAGCACCTTAGAAGGCAACAGAATTTTGTTTAGCACAATAGTTCCCAACTTGGGTAACCCAGGTGTTCTCAGACTGCAACTTCCAGAAGACATAACCACCAACTGTGCTGGCCAGGGTTTCTGCGAGTTGCAGTCCAAAAACACCTGGCTTACCTGAGGTTGGGAATCTCTAGTATAGCTGATGGAAAGAGCTAGAGCTGGTCCCCATGAACTGCCATGCCAGAAGGAAGAGGAAACACTTTGTCAGGGAAGGGTGGTAGTTAAGTGGTAAAACACCTGTTTTGTATATAGAAGGCATGAGACCCAAGCAGTAGTGTCTACAGGTATGTTAGATCTGGAGAGGGATCTTGAAACCCCAGAGAGCCACTGCCAATCAGTGTCCATAATACACAGCTAGGTGGAGCAATAATCTGACCCCATTACAAAGCAGTTCCCTATGTTCTAAGTAGTATTGGTGCTCACAGCTTACCACTTTCTTTTCTGCAACCTTTTTTCATTCTGTAATCCCATTACCACACATTGGCCAAAATGCTGTTAGGTGCATCCACAAGTATAAAGTAAACACAAATTGCCTCACTTTAAAAAAAAAATCACTGTAGACATTGGTTGCATGCTACAGGAGTTCTGTGATTCACTTATGCCAGTATAAAATCCCAATAGAATTCTGACTGTTGTACATTTCATGTCTCCGCTTTCTGAACTAGTACAGAATCACACTCACTAGTACGTAAAAGATGAGGCAGAAATTAGTAAGCAAATGAAGCCATGTTATGTCTATACTAGGGGAAGAGAACTGGGAAACCTGTGGCCTTGCAAGTACTGATGAGTTACTGGTCCCATCAAGCCTCACTTTTGGCCATGCTGTTGGCACTAATGGGCCTGGATGTCTTGCAGAATCTGTATGGTTGCCTGTCTTGCACAATAGCAAAGCATAAAATCTATGCTGCAAACTATTCAGTGAACTATGAACTACAAAAACAAGGTCCAGAATGAGACCAAGTTGGCAAGTCTGATGACCTCCTCTAAGTCTTTCTTTTTCCTTTTTCCCTAGGAAGTATCTCAACGATCTCCAACAGTGAAAGCACAAAGGAAATACCCAACTGCACTAGTGTTTAATACCAGGAAACTACTTTGGCAACAACATTTCTGAGTTTTTTATTTTTAATTATTATTATTATTATTACAAAGGGAAAATTCTATGTTATTATTATTATTATATTATTATTATTATTGAGCAGTTCAGGGTGTGGGTGGTTTGATTTTTCATTTTGTTTTGTTTTTGTTTTCTAGGGCCCCATTCATAAATCAAACATTTGGAAAACTATGTCATAGAATAATACAAGGTTTAACAGAAATTAGGAATAAAATCCTGAAGTTAAATTTTTTGGGCACATTTTCTATTGTCTTGTTCAGTGAAACATTTGGCCTATTTCTCAGACAGGTACTGGATTGTTCCTAACCAGGCTTATTCCTGTAGTGTACAGGGTTCTCCCACCACATCAGCAGCTTGGTGGATTCACTCCATTGAGTATATATATATTATCTTGTATATCATTTAAAATGGGGGATGAAGCCTTCTGATCTTAACTGGGCTCTCAACGGGGTGGGTGGGATATACAAAATGGCCACCAACAAGCCTAACCGAGTTTATGAATGAGGCCCACACTGGTGCATGTTAATACTGAGGATACTGATGGCATACTGTAGATAATTACCATGTAAATAACTTTTTATTTCTTGAGAAATTATTTAATGTTTAGTAAAAGATAAATTTAAAATGAATAAACCATACACACACACACACATGCACCATATTGTCACCTCTGCATAAGAAGCAAAACAGTTCACTGAGACCTGCAGTGAACATCTGTGTCACTTGCAGAGTCTGAATGTGTTATCAGTTGCCTGTCATATTTAATTCTTCTTTTGTTGCATTCAGTCAACATGATGGGGTAGTTGCCAAAAGAAGGAAGTGTGTTTCAGTGATTTTTGTGTATTGAATTACAAGCACTTCAGAATGAATTACAGTTAGGTTATTTGCACTTTCACAGAGACTGTACGGGGAAACAATTAACTATATCTTGTAATAATTTTATCAGAAATGCTGGGAAATATCACAATGAGTCCATGATACATTCAGTTCAATTGGCAAGTTACACTGGAAAATGTTTTTCAGAGGGAGAATTCAATTCTTAAACTGAAATATTGGCCACCACAACGGAGACAGTTGTTGTTCCTATTCTATAATGCTTAAAATATAATGTTATATCTTCCCCAAATGTTGGGGAAACATCCACTTTTTCCATATTTTACAGCAGCTTCACTGTATTTCCAAATTATACAATGTCTTATTGTTACTTTGAAATAATCTCAATGCTGTGAAGATCCGTACCATATTATGTAATACATAACCTATTAGATTTAAGGGAAAGCTATCCACAATGGTGGCAGATCTGTGCATTATGAAGTATGCCACTGGATTCTTATAGTGTGGCCAGGAAGATTTCAAATGTACTGTGACTACCAGGAAGATTGATCAAAAATGTGCTTTCCTATGGAAAAAAACCTGAGGGGATGTTCAGTCTACCCTACACTCCTCTTCTGCTTTCAGTCTCCAACTTCTACTTCAGAAGAAATTAGTGTCACCTCTACTGGTACCCTGTGAATATATTTCAGGGAATAACAGTGATTGCTGTGGTTTCCATGACATTCAATGAGTCATATGTGGAAGGAAAACAAGCCCATAGCGGCACCATTTGTCCTAGAGAGGTCTTTATTAAATCAGATATTGAAGATTTTGCTATTAAATATATCATCACGGTGTGGTCACCATGAATGAATCATTGTAAACGGAGTTGCCCATTTTCCCCCCTCTCCTTCTGGTAGACAATATATAAAATCAATAACTGATGTTTTTCTTGTCAGTGAACTATAATGATAAGACAAACTGTATTTAGTTAATTTGTATCAGATGTTTCTGGCTACATTGACAAAATCACCACCACCACCATTTTAACCTGAATCTAGGTGGGAAATTATGTTTACATAACCTCATCAGCATAAATCTCAGGTGCGAATTACCACAGTTTAAATCAGCATAGGCCTTTCCTGGCCTTTGCAGAGTTGTGCAGTTAGTGGGTGAGAGCAAATGCTTGATTTTACTTGTTAACTGATGGCAATTTGCTGCTAAGATTTATGCTGATGGGGTTACACCAGTGGCATCTATTCCCATGATGTCTGGCTGACCACCTTTCCCTTGACTATAAAATGTTTTAACAATAAAAAGAAAAGTTTCTGCAGTGACCAGAGTCAGTTGATCCAAGACATGCATGCATGTATGCTCAAGTCTGGCATTCTGATGCTGACCTAGATGCTGACCTGGCCTCTTTGGTGCCATGCACTAGCAGCTGGTGGCCTCCTCCCAAATTAGCGGTGGAGGACATGCTCCCTCTTTCTTGTTCCACAAGCCACCTATGAAGACATCCCCAACATCTCCTACTGTCTGGGTAGTCATCAGGATCGGAGCCTGAGCTCTGAGGTCTCACCCTGCAACCACTGACTTTGGTGAGTACAATCCATCCAAACTGAAAGAAACAAGAACCCAGTGCTGTTGGAAATTGAGTTTTTGTATTCTTTCATTCCAAGAATTAAATAAGGCAGACAACTGTGATGCTTATTTTAAATGAAGTAAGACAAATGCATGAATCATATATATACATAAAAGTACATATATACTGTTATTGGTTTTATTGTTCCATTTGAATATTTCTACTGTAAAAAAAGCAGTGGTTTTGAAATTGTTGAAAATAAATGTATTTTTGTACATCGGAGCTGCCAGATTACATTATTTTGGTGGCTTCCTTTAGACAGTAATGCTTCATACTGAGAAGCAAAATTTACTGTTTTACTCAAGAGCTGACTAAGATGTACTGGACCTACATGCCATCCTTCACTTGCATTGGCAAGATCTCAGTACTATCCTTGGCAAAAATAGTTCTGCAACCTAAATATAACATAAACATGCCTAACCTCTTCCATGTTGTCATTTTGAAGCAGCCGTCAGTGCTGCACATTCCCTAGCTTCCTCAACCCAATTGAGTGCAACGTTCTCTGCAAAATACAAGTCTAGTTAAGAGTGCTGTGCTGTATTTTAGAGATGAGCATGTCAACAAACATGGAGAAGAACTAAAATATTATCTGAAAGACCATGTCCAAACTGACTTTTCATGACAACACACTGTTGCCTGCTACACAGATCAACTAACTACCTGGGCACATTTTGGCTTGTCTAATATCCCCCTTCCTTTTCATAATATTGAAGTGCCTTGGGAACCATGGTTTCACCTGACCCAAATGAACCATGAAGAGGCTTGTGATTGTCCTGTCCTACCCTACCTCTTCTGCTCTAACACAAACACAAAGCAATCAGAAGCATTCACTACTGAGTTTAAACTTATTGGCTGGTATCCTATTAGTGATGCCTACTGGAGTAGCACCATATATATACCTTCCAGCAGCAAATTGCCACAACTTAAGAAGTCACGGTACATACCATGACTCATCTGAGATACGAAATGCTTATGCTGATTTCTTAATATGTGCCAACTTACCACTAAAAGTTATACAAATGGCATTAAACCAGCAAAAACCTATAATAGAATTCCAATCACAGTGGCAGTTGTTACATCAGAAAGGAATAAAGTGAAGTTAACTGCTCTCCTCATGCTCAAAATGTTACAACTGCCTTCATCCTACAATGTTAATAGATCTATTTGACAGAATCTGTTGGTCACATACTTTCCAATCTCATGCTAGAGATCACCAACTAGAAAACAACCTGTACAAAAACAGTGACATTAAAATATGATAGAAGAGTTATGCATAAACTGTCTCCCTTTCTGTGCTGTTTTTATTTGGCATTCTCCCCAGGACAGGAGCACAGTTATTAAGCATGATCAAAGCACCAGTGCTCTGGTGATATATTATTGTGATACGTCAGTAGAGTGGTATTTTCGCCCCATGCATCTTGGTAGTACATCACCTGACTGATGGCTGACAGGAAGCATAAAGTGTGGAGAGATACATCTGCTCAGTGCAACAGTTTACAGTTAAAGGGGTCACTTTGTAAAACAGAGAGGTGGGAATAATAGTATCTATAGCCTTGTTTGTTGTGGTGTATTTGTTGCATTCCTACTTTCAGTGACAATAATAAAAGAAAACACCCTGCACAAAAGTAGAGGCTTCACCTAAGCTTCTCTGGAGTTAATGAAGCAACAGCTAGGACTGCTTATGTGCTGGTTCTCTTCACTTACATATCAGGTAGCCTTTTATGCAACACCCTATGAGCCATCCATTGGCCATCCATATCAAACTCATGGCATCACTTCCCTCCAACACCAGCAAAAAAGCATGCCCCCTGCGCACACACACCCAGTGAGCTGGCCGCAGTTTTGACTAGAATCTGCCATTGGACACAATATGTTCATCTCAGCAAAATTCAGGAAGACAGCTCAATTCTGTATAGAAGTCAAGCTACTTAAGAATGTCTCTGTTTCATCTCTAATGTGTGTTTTCACCTGTGCAGATATGAATGCCTTAGCTATTGAGATCTAAATGGCCATTGCAGGCTTCAGTAAGGCAAGGTAAGCCATGGCAGAGAAGATAGTGAGGCATCCTGTAAGTTGGTCATGAATGTCAGCTCTCTCTTAAATCCTGACCTAACCATGGTGGGAGAAGTAACAATATGACAAATATGCACTTTCAGATCCCCCTTCAACCAGCTGGCATTCACAGTAGATGAATGGTAGATGGAGTCTGGTAACCTCACGGCTACCAACACCAAGTCACCTTTTACTGACACTCCCATTGGTTTAAATGCAAGGTTGCTATAGATACAGATGTCAACCACTTGCCAGACAAAGGAAGTGTGACTCTGTTTCATCTTGTATGCAGTAGGTAGAATATTAATGGAAGTAAAAGGTGATAAGCAACAACATAGACGTCAAAACTGCAGCTATTTGTGGCTGCAAGTCAAAGAAGCCAGAAGGCTGTATGCTCTGTGATTTTCTAGTGTAACAGTAGTTGAGAAGAAAAGCAAAAGTGAAGTAGATGAACAGGAATACAATTACAGTGGTGCCTCTCATTATGATGTTAATTCATTCCAGCGAAATCGCTGCAGAACGAAAACATCGTAAAGCAATTTTTAAAAGCCCATAGAAATGCATTAAAACCTGATTAATGCATTCCCATGGGCTTGAAACTCACCGTCCAGCGAAGATCCTCCATAGTGTGGCCATTTTCACTGCCCGTGCAGTGAGGAATCCATCCCAGAAAACAGCGGGCGGCCAATTTTTTTACCCAGTTGCCATTTTGAAACCGCCGACCAGCAGTGCAAAAATCATCGTTTTGCGATAATCGGTTAGCGAAGCAGGGAACCGATCATCGCAAAGCGAAAAAACATCCATAGGAAACATCGTTTAGCGATCGCTTTTGCGGGGCACCACAATTATATTGTCCTGGGGCCAAATATTTCCTTGAGACCAGAGTAAAGAAGGAATGCTTTAATGACTATTTTAACTAATATTGAAATTTTAAAAGTGGGTGTTGGCCTATGGAATTAGAAACTCAGTGGTGCTTATTTTATATCAGGTTTGTAAACACTGCATTAATCAGTTTGTAGGATTCACTTTTAATTTTATTTACTTATAAATATCTGATGTAGCTTTCTCTTACAATGATAATAACGGAAGAATATCTGTGTGTGTGTGTTTCATGCCATGAATTTGGAACTGACTTATTGTGGCCCTCATAGGTTTTCCAAGATAAATGAGAAATTTAGGCAGCTTTACCAGTGTCAACCCCACCCAGTGAGTTTTGACTGCTGAGAGGGGGATTTGAACCCAGAATCCTAGTTGGTCACTCTAACCACTACTGTAAAGCAGTATAACAAAGAAAAAACTGCAGCTTAATGATAAATTGTAGCTAAGTTCAGATACTTGTTAATATAAACGCTAATCTTAAAATGAAAATGCTTAACATATGCTTGTTCTTTTTGCATAAACATTTCATCAGCAATACTTTCGGATTAATGAAAGCTGGGAAAAGGAGGATACAGTAAAGAGACTGATGTCAAGACACCAACAGGAAGAACTGAACAGGAACAGCTGAATCGAGCAACAGATAATAAAAGGCCCTTGTTGCATGAAAAAGGCCGCAGTAGCAAAGCGATGGTTTTTGCTGTTTCTTGGAAAGTGCATGGGGATCTTACTGAGTGGAAGAGTGATACAGTAACCAGAAAATGGATGTAAGAAGCAGACTTGGGAGGTGAATGTCCAAGGGAATGAAAAGTGGGGTGGGGGGAGAAGACGACAATAGGAAAAGAGAAAAATATGAAGAGTGATTTTTAGAAACTGAAAGCCATTTATCCCTCATTGAAAAACTATTTTATTTTACTTTATTTTGTTTTATGTTTGCCCTTTAGTATTAGCAATTACAAGGTTCACAAGACTCAAACCAATACCTCAAGAATAGTTCTAGTGGGATATTAGGGTATGATTAAATTAGTGACTGTTCTTCAGTCTACTCTATCCCATTACAAACCAAACCAAACAAAAGGATCCGTATTTCTTTATCTCTATAAAATCTGGAGAATTCAGAAATATTTAGAATTTTTTTAGAAAAACCTGAAGTCCCTGGAGAGTAACAACAACAACAACAACAACAACAACAACAACAACAACAACAACAACAACAACAACAACAACAACAACAACAACAACAAAGGGAATGAAGGGCTTAAGAGTTAAGACCACCATTTTAAACAACTTGGCTTTCCAAAACACTCTTTGTCTCAAGTACACATCTGTACAAATACCTTCAGTCACTACATTTGATTCTACATCTACAAGAATGTTTGAGGTTCTACCAAAGCTGAGGTAAATAGTGGTGCTGTGGGCTAAACTGCAGAAGCCTGTGCTGCAGGATCAGAAGACCAAGCAGTCATAAGATCGAATCCATGTGACGGAGTGAGCGCCCGTCACTTGTCCCAGCTCCCGCCAATCTAGCGGTTCGAAAGCATGCAAATACGAGTAGATTAATAGGGACCACCTCGGTAGGAAGGTAACAGTGTTCCGTGTCTAAGTCGCACTGGCCATGTGACCACGGAAGATTGTCTTCAGACAAAATGCTGGCTCTATGGCTTGGAAATGGGGATGAGCACTGCCCCCTAGAGTTGAACATGACTGGACAAAAATTGTCAAGGGGAACCTTTACCTTGACCTTTACTACACGAATGTTTGAGGTTCTACCAAAGCTGAGGTAAATCTTTTCTGAGACATGTTTCGTATGAACATATTACTGTCTCTATGTTTTAATTCTTGTTATATGTATTTCTGCTTTCCTCCTATGAGCTGATGGCATCATATAAGATTTTTTCCCTCTGTCCATGTCCTCGCACCAACAAACATGTGAAGCAGGCTGGCCAAGAGTCCATGGTATCAAAGATCCCAAGGTTAGCCAGCAAGTTTCATAGCCAAGTGGAGGAGTTGTGAGAGCAAAGCTGGGAGAATGGTGATCACTTGGAGAAAGGTAGGGGTGGGGTTTTAAGTTAAACAATAAAATAGCAATAGTAAATAATACACACCAGTCTATCCGCAGCCCTGTTAAGTAACAAAGGGGTAGGTATATATTTGAAACTGAGAATGAAATAGGGAAGAAG